GGGAGCTTGGAGCTCTTTTACAACCTGCCTGATTCCATGGTTCTATGAAGCAGCCCCAGGACGAAGCCCCATGGCACTGACCTTGCTGCCCAGCTCCGCTGCTTCTTCGCTCTTCACCGTCACTTCAGAAGCTTCTATTTGACAAAACAAACGGGAGAGGGGCGTCACTTCAGCAGCTGTGCACAGCTCTGCAGCTGCGGCAGAGCCTGAAGGACCTCTGGTGTCATCCTTAACATTTCATCACTGCTGCTGTGGGGAAAAGCAAGAGAGCCACGTGCAAGAGCTCTCAGGAAGAACAGCCTTAAGGCAGACCAGAGAAACCCCTCCAAGTTGTGCCGGTTTGAATTCACCACAGCAGAGAAAGCACCGCGTCAGTTTGCAGCTCACCTCCATCACGTAAAGCTTCCTTCTGCCCATCCGAGCCCACGGGCGCCGCCTGCAGCACCCGGGCGGCTTTGTCTACAAAAGCAGAGCAAAATCAAACCCCGAGATATCACAGCATTGCAGTTCAGCGAGCAGGAGCCCAGCTCTAACAGCAGGATTACCCGGTAAGGGCGCAGCATTGCCCGCTGCTTTGCACTGAGCCTCTCCTGCCTTCGCTGGCTCTGTGACGCCGTCGTCCCCTCCTGCGGCGCCGCTCGGCTCGGCCAGCCCTCCTTCCCCAGCTGCCATCCCGCTTTCTGGTGAGCTCTGAAGCTCTTTGGATTCACTTTCTTCCGATGGATCTGGAAGGAAGCGGCAGATAAAAAGGGTTCTTCAGTTCCGTGCGCTGCGCAGAGCAGAGCTGAGCCGTGAGCCCGGCGCTGGAGATGCCCTGCTGCAAACCCCCACTCGCTGCTGCACAGTTGGAGATGCACACAGGAGGAGCCCCCACGGCCAGCATCCCCCCCTCCAGCCCCCAGCGCCCTGCGTGGTCTCCTGTCTCACCTGCAGTGTCTGAAGTCTTCCCAGGTTTACTCTCTTTGGTCCCCAGGGGCTTCTTGCTTTTCTCCTTTTTGCCTAGGTGGAACATCCAGCCACAGGTCAGCAGGAACGTTTTACCTCTCACCTCGTGCATTGGTGAACATTCAAACCAGAAAAGGCACAGAGAAGAGCTCCATCTGCAGCAGCCACGACCAAAAAGCACCAAAACCGAGCCTGCATGGCAACCGACAGCGGCCACGAAGGAAAGACAGAAGCGCAGCAGCTTCGGTGCTCAGCTCAACTCAGCTTCTGCTGACCAAACTGCTGCAGAAGCTTCGCTTCCTCCTCCTTCCAGGACCGTGAAGTCGGTTATGGAGGATGAAGCGCTGCAGGCAGACAAGCAGTGAGAGGCGCAGAGTGCAGGCACAGATCACAGCATCACAGAACTGCAGGGGTTGGAAGGGAGCTCCAGAGATCATGGAGTCCAACCCCGCTGCCAAAGCAGGCTCCCTACAGCAGGTAATCAAATCCTGATCCGTTCCTGCATCTCCTGTTGGTGCCCGAGGGCTTTTGAGGCTTGGAGCCTCAAGGCAGGGTTCCACCCCAGGAAGGCACTGGGACGGACCCCCAGCACGGCTCTCAGTGCTGCAAAGAGGCACTCGCACAAAACCAGAGAGATGGGAACCCATTGAGGAGGCAGATTGGGGGGATGGCAGACGAGAGGTGGACGAAACCTCACCTGCAATCATTCGTGAGGTCTTGGTGGCGGCGGTGGAGGTGGTTGGGTGCTTCCTATTAAGAGCAGGAGGGGGAAAAAATAAGGGACACTGAGTTTCAAATACAGGTGATGAAGGCGAGCAGCTGAACGTGTTCCCAAAGCAGCAAATCTCAACAAGGAAAGGAATCCGTTTGGTTTGCAGCAGCTCTAAGGAGCGGGGACACGGCTGGAGGGAAGGGCAGGGCTCACCTGGTGCTTGGGGCCACTTTCTTGGTGATCCGAGGCTTCTTTCTGATGCTTGTTTTGGCCTAGAGGAGGCAGGAGGAGGAACGTCAGTGCCCCATGCACACAGCTTGCTCCTCTGACTGTTAAACTACAGCAGCTGGCAGTTCAGCTGAGAAAAACATCAAGCTGCAATTGGGATTTGCCAGAGGGGCTTCGTGCCCATCTCAGCCCGCTGTCGCTACGAAGGAACGTAAAACACAAGTGCTAAAATCACTGTTTTCCTGGTGCAGATCAGTTTGTGGATGGAAATAGCAAGGCAAGCACACGCAGCGCTCAGCAGCGCGCCGTTACCTGGCTGGGAGACGCTTTGGGCTTCTCTGCCACGCTGATCTTCACCTGCTTCCCGTTCACCAGCACCGGCACGGTCTCACCGTATTTCACAGCTGCTATCACCGCCTCCTTGTAGTTCATCTCCAAGTAGGCCTGAAACAAAGGCGCCTTCAGGCTCCAGTGCTGCAGCTCTGTGAGGAACCCGCTCACAACCGCCCCCATTCCTCCCTGTGTTCGCTGCTGAAGCCTGGATCAAGCAGCCCAGCAGCGCACAGCAATGCAGCGCACGGCCCCAGCCAAGCCGCGACCACACGCCCCGCTTCTGACTGTCTGCAAGGAACCCCAGCATCACGAGGTCGGAAATGATCTATAGATCATGCACTCCAACCCCCCTCCCATTGCTATCAGTACCACCAGCACCAAAGCACAGCACGCCTCCCCCACCTCCCTGGGCATCCATTGCAGTGCTGCCCACCTTGC